ACTGACAGTTATCCCTTGTATGACATCTTATTGTTGAATTGAACACCTGTATTCGTACAACCAGTCGCGTATCAAGTTTAGTTTGTTTTGTTGTTAGTATGAGATAAGCGACTTTCAGTATTTTCAGAACTGCGACAACACCTGAAAAATTTTGACGAAGTATGGCTTCAGTCTTGAAACCAGATATTATTTTAGGATCAGCCAAACTTTAACGATTTTCATGATTTGCATCAGTACAACATATTAAATCAAGTAGACCCCTAATTCCTACGTAAAATTATATGCTTATTCCATGTTCCTCGATCTTTTCTTTCATCAGCTATGTACTGGATAAAGAAATTCTTGTACTAATCAACGTCCTCAAGTAATACGCTTAGTGCGTGGGCGTTTCTCCTAAGTCAGTATATCTGCATTACATAGAATAAATACGAAATCTCGAGACGAATGAATGTAGAAAACTCACTGAATTTTCTATCGTTATGATGCTTAGTTTCACCAGATTCAAACGGCCAGCTCAGAAAAACCTCATCTGGTGACCAGTTTAAAACGACCACTTACACACCGATTCCCTTGTCTTCGACCTAACGACCATAAGCATTCAGCTGGTTCAAGTTACTGCTATGTTGTACAAACTATATAAATACCCTATGAGAAACTAATCAACGAGTAAGTATCGAATTTCTGCTACATATCTATGGTATTCTAATTGTCGTATGAACTAGGAATTCCAGGATTAACGCAATTCAATTAAGAAGTGAGACACAAACACAAACGAATGTATTGTATTTGGAATTCGCAATCGAGCATTCAACAAGTACAAAGGTATTATTAGTTCGTTCAAACACCACAATATCGCTCCAGTTCTACTTCCAGTATAGTACGCTCCAATCCTACTAAAGTAATGGACGTTGAACAGACGGAATTTAACCTAACTAAATAAGGTGCAAACAGTATCTTTTTGCTTAGATTCTTGAGACTGTGTCTAGGCTTACAGCATCTCCTGCTGGTCCCTTCATGGGAATTTAGATGTTCGCCTTAGTCATGACTTTACTGCTGAAGACTTACTTTGGTGTAATTCTGTCATCATATTTTTTACCACTAAACAGTGTTCTCATTCTTTATGGTTTCTACGTTTGTGAATCATAAACTATGCCTCTTCGTAGTCAAGAAATCTCTCTTCCAGACTAGATACACATCTCAAGGAGTAAAGAGCCTAATGTTTCTGCTCAAAAAAGTTCAAAGTTTTGATTATCTACAGCATAGTAGCTCGGATTACAACTGGTGGATTGATAAATTGAACCATTTCTCACTAAGTTGTTGCAGTTTGACAGATGAGCTAACCGAAATCAACATGGTTCTCAAAATTGGCCTCAGAACTGACATACCTTACTCTGTCATCTAATCTACGTCAGAAAATCTCAGGTGACACAATAAACAAGTTCAAAAGTAAGGAAAGAACAGAATCTCTATATTGAGCTAGTAATCAGAATAATGTATGATCAGAACGAGTGGGGTGAGGGGTGGTTTCTAGGCCTTCTTTTAGCTCGCTCGTGAGGCTAATACGCAAAAAGTAAGGATAGTGCGGAAGGACTAACGTAGTGTACTGTTTTCTGTTCTCAAAGAGCAAGTGTAATCTGACTAGAATTCAATCCGTTCCAGTAGACGAACTGAAAGATCATGGTTTGGAGTGATCTTAGATAGTATTTTGGAGCTAAGGTGAATGTCTGTTAAAGTTTTATTAAAATACAAAGAAAGCTAGGCTCCTGAAAGAGCACATCATCGGAGACTGAGTTCACTCAGTTCAATATACTTCCTATCTTGTCACCAAGTACTCCATAAGGATCAATAACAAATGTTGAAATCATTATTTCTAGTTATTTTAAAAGGTTGTTTCAATTTTCTTTAATGTAAAATTATTGTAAGTTGAAGATTTACACACTTGTCATCAACCTGTCCGCCGTTTTGAGGTTCTAGGTCGTTCGCCACGCATTCTCCTTGATATCTTAGATTAAACTTTGTTTACCATTTGAGTGTTTGAAATAATTGATCTCGTTCTTATATTATTACAAAAGTCAACACTTATATTAATGCTCGTAGTCCTGTAAGCCCCATAAATTTCAAAAGAACTACTCATTCTTAAAATAAGTGATGTATAATAGTAAAATCTTTAAAACTCCCATATATGACTACACATACATGTACTCTTTGTAGCGTTGAAAATGTAGTTCTCACGTTATTTATAAGGAAAGTGGGAAACATTAGCTGCTACCGGGCCAACTCTGAGTTTTTTTTCTTAAAGTTCTCGTATAGCTTTCATGATCAAATGAAGCGTATGTAAAACTACAACACTCTTAGTCAATTAAATCCATTTTACATTTTCTGTATGTCTAGGTTAATTAATCCCGTTGTGTGCATACTAGCCTTATTAATGAAACGACCAATGGTTTTAAATTTGACCGCAAACTTTCTTGATCAAGTATCAACTAGTTATTTGTTGTATGTATTCACGGCACACCAATCTCATCCTTGCAAGGTGGCCCACGGAGTTGCTGATACATTGAGTATTTTAAGGAAATGTATCCTCTTAAACCTTGACTACAGCAGGTTTTCATGCCGTTTGTCCCTTTAAAAATTGTCCACATATGCACAGAACTGGTTTTTAAGCAGTGCTTGCTCTTAACTTGGTTTAAGCTCCTAGGACCTCTCACAGTAAGGAACAACATATTGCGTCATATGGAAGCATCTCTGATGGTGAAGCAAACACGTGCTCTTGTCTATTTTAGGATCGTTCTAGGCCAGTAATAGTTATCATTGATTTGTGTGAGAGATGGAATACTAACCGGGCGCCTAGACCGAAGCAGGTGGTCTTTTCAAGGAGCCTCACCCCGAACCTTTGACTTAAAGGTCTAATCCACAAGGCAGTGGAGCAACATTAGGAGATGCAGTCCCATGGTAGCCTGTGGCCAACAATGAGTTCATTTGCCGCTTGTTCCCTCAGGATATTAGAACCCATATGCACCATTGGTTTGAAATCAGGGTTTTCCAACTCCCTAGGTGGGTCCACCGACCCGGTTAAAATACCGGACATTCGCTTTTCGTCCTCTCAATTTTATAAACAACACCCGCCTCGATAAGGGAGTGAATAGGACTTCCCTGGCAGTGGCTGTACACTACTGAAAGTTAGAGGTTTATGTAGGCTGAGGATGTGCTATGATCTCATAGCTGTAGAAGCTAATCCTCAACAGCTTAACTGGCTTATAATACGTATCTTTTCAACCTCTAAGTTTTGATATTCAATTAAAATGCCTTCCTAAACACTTGTAAAGTTTTATGAAGCTTAAAATATTGCCTGTACTCTAACTCCCATAATTCATCAGTAAAACTTTGAAATTCGGGTAAACAACGTAGAACTTTGAGAAATTATTGCTCTCTGTTGTGCGACAATAGTAACATCAACTTAAAAGGCAAAACTTGGAAGTAATATGCCTTTGCAATTTATGGATTCATATCATGTAGTCTTTAGTCACTGATATCAGTTACTATGAAAGTATCAAATATGTATATTCTTTCATATGGCTCGGATCAGTTGGTGACATATTTTGACCTTACCGATTTTGGCCGTCGCCGACCCAATGTAGTTCACGAGTGTAGTCGATGGTTGATGTATTTCGTCTCAGATAATGGTGAGCTGGATTATATGGTAATTAGTTATTCAGTTTTAAGCTTTTGATCCACAATCATCAGTCCATGAATTTACTTTTGTGGCTATTAGTAGAAGTTAGGAAGTATATATTACTCTTGTACAACATTCCATACGTAGCCTTTAAACGAAATTATTACTTTTTGTTTCACCTACGTAGAAGATGAGAAGTGGATAGCCGTATAGCAATTCAAAACTCTTAGAAGTATCCAAGAGATGAGACCTTCGAGCCCTAGTGTGTTAGTACCTAATGAAACACCAACATGGATTCAGAAATTTCATTTGGCCTTTGCCAGCTTGCATCACCTAGACGTGAGATCCCCGTTCAATAACTAAAGGTTGAGTATACTGAGCATCATTTTGTTCTGTTCTAATTTATGGCTGTGAGTTGTTGTCTCGGAAAATATATTCGTGTGATACCTTCAAAGCTTTGCTAGTGTATGTTGGGATCTTTCGCTGAGCAGCAATAAGGTTGGACTCTGGTTATTACGTAATGATTGATAAAGTAGTGAATCTCCATCGATCGAGGTAATGTATGTCCGACCTAACTAGACACGTAATTTTTGGTGGTGTTACAGTAGGGGAAAAGAAAGGTAGAGTCAACCAAATCAAGAAGTGTCATCATTTCACGAAGTTAATGACCATCGGTAAATGCAAGTTACTTTGTTGGAAATCTCCAATCATTGTAAACAATGTCTGGATATGACAAGTGAAATGGTTCAGGATCGGTCACTCCGGCACAGATTCATTTACTTTGTCTTCCCGTGGGTCTTCAGTTTCAAAATTATCTCAAGCTTCTCACCACGCGAATTCAACATTTCGTCTCAAATCATATTTTCTATGCCGAATTTTTTGTACTGTCACTCACTCTACTAATGCTTTTACTATGGAATTTGTCTTGATAACTCGGTCTCTGTGTCGATATTGTGACGCAACTGGAACCGATGCACATATGTGGTGCATTCTACGTTTCTTGTGATTGACTGATTTCTCACTAGTGTGAAACCAGTATTTGTTAACGTACTAATCGAAACCAGAATTAACAATTGCACTTAATTATTTTAGAAAGTAATCTACAACACCTGCAGTTTTTTTCCACCACCAACTATTTAGAGTCCGACTATCATATAAGTCTTTCATTTCGTGCTCTAATTCATCAATCATCTTTTTTGTTGCCAAATCCTTTTCATTTTTCCTCAGCTCCTAAAACATGATCTATAGTGTTTGATTTTCAAATGCAGTGAATCCTTAGTATTTATATATTAACAACTGTATAAAAATTATACATACAAGTAGAAACATGTATTACTTGAATTGCCTCAACTTTCTACCCACATACAACGTATTCAAGTGGCTTAACGAGCCAAGTTATGTTTGGAAGATAGTTTTCCTTTGTTGTTTGGCGAACTTCATTAACGCAGCTGATCGAGTTATCATGCCTATTGTTATAATTCCCATATCGAATCACTTTGGCTGGAATCTTCACCAATATGGATTAGTTCTGAGTTCGTTTTCTGTAGGCTATCTTGGAAGTATGGTAAGCACTACCAGTTCTTTGCTTTTAATTTAAACTAGATTATAGGTGAAAGAGCAGCAAGACGATATGGTGGAGGTCTGATCCTTAGTTTTGCCATCGCATTCTGGTCATTGTCATCCCTCCTCACTCCATTCTTTGCTCACTCTGTTCGCTCTCTGATAACTGTGCGTATACTACTTGGCTTAAGAGAAGGAATAGGTAAGAAAGATATTTTGTCGATCTAAAATTGAAAATCATAATCAAAACTCAAATCTGAATGAAAATTCGGTTGTTAAAAGATCTAAATGATGTTCTATAGCTGAACATATTTGATTTGGAGAAATCAGTTACGAAAGGATTAGTTGAATAAATCATTAATTATAAACAGTTATCGCTTGTATCCTACCCACAAAGCAAGCCTATTAGCGTCAGGCAGAGTTATGCATATTCCCAATCTCATTCTGTTAAGAGATTCTTTATGGTATGTAAAAGTATTGTTGTTTCCATCATTTGGAATATATTTTTTGAAGGATAAGTGACCTGAAATTTCTACCACAGAATAGGGTTTTCAACGTCATGTTTATATACAACTCAATAACATGGTATTGTAGAATACATTTGATTCTTAAAAAATTCCTACTTCTTTCAGCATGTACCAATCTTCAGCTAGACCAAACAGGTTCATAACAAACAATAAATTATATTGTGCTGAAAAGTCAAATTACCTGCACACAATGAGTGTTACTACAAAATATTTCAAAGCCTGACGTTCGATATTCTGTGGTATAACTCTACCTGGAACTGTTTACCCATCATTTCTTACTATTATTATTGGTTGCTTTGTATGTCAAATACCTTTTATTAGAAGAAAAATTTCTCTAGAGCTTATCTGGTATGTCGTTGTAGCAAATCGATCTCATCATCTAAAATGAATAATTTCTCATCCACCTTAATCAAAAGTTCATTTGAAAGCCTAAGTTATTGCAATATATTGATATGTAATATATGCTTACTTAGTAATGTTCCGTGTAGTCACAATATTTGTTTTTCGTCGTCTAATATAGGTCTTCCTACGGTATTCCACATATTTTCTTATGTTGTGCCTGTTGAAGAACGCAGTCGATCTTTCAGTTATATGGTCACATTTGGTGCTGTTGGTCAAACAGTAGCTACCTTGGTTTGCCCTCATTTAATTTGGTCTCATTCGTTTTTCATATTTGGTTTTATTGGTCTTGTGTGGATTTGTTTCTGGATCCCTGTCTTTAACGTTGTTAGAAGAGCTGAGTCACGAATTGAGTTGCCTGCTCAACAATCTCAGGTAAGTTTTAACTCCTCTATTTTTCCCTTCGGTTATCGACTCGGAAAAGGTGCAGATTATATCATATACGTTGTCAAACTGATAAGAACCCAATAGATAAGTATATTTTCATCTATCGCTACTAAGTTAATTCCACAGAAGACTCATTGTCTCCAGATTACCTCTTTTTTCTGTAAACTCGATCTATCTGTGCGTTAATAATTCGTGGATACACCTGGAAGATTTTTGTAGTTAGTTTAGACAGCTGTAAACTAGTTCGACAATTATCGGAATCAGATAAAAAGACCTTTATATCGTTCGTTTTTATTAGCGTATTGAGGTCCTTGGGAAATAAATGCCAAGTTAATCTATTTCATGAGACCTTAAGTTACTGAAACTAAATATGAGTATGTGAATTTAACGGAAAATGTTTTTAAGACCTAGCCCTTCAAATGCACATAGAGTAGTGAGCAAACTCACATTCTAAATCAAAGATGAATATTCCGATAACTTTATGGTACAAACTTTTTCACAGCACCAGCTAACATGTAAATATAATTTCAAGTCAATGACTCAAAGGGAGTGCTTGTCACAATCAGCTATTTCATTTCACAAATACATGTTAAAATAAAGGAGGAAATATTGATGGGAAGAAACTTTTCGCTACTGCACGAACCTTGATTCATATCAATCCTTTTAGCCTTTGTTTCACTGATTAAATAATTTACTAAAAATAAATGCTTTCAATCTAGGGGACTAACTGAATTATTCATTACTTGGGTCAGCTCTCTAAATAGAGGAAAGTTATGAGAATGAGGAAAGCATATTCCATAGTGTGGGAACCCCTTTTTTCATGAATTCATTGTCTTTTGATAATGTTTGAAGAGTTTTTATTTGGACTCACTACAAATAGTTTTTATCTTCAGATAACTTATAACATTCTGGATTTATCGTGAATTTCATTTCACTCTTGAAATTCAGTCATCTATCTAAAAGTAGTGTTATATGAGGCTTTACAGTCATTTAATGGTTTCCAGTTACTAACCAGCGTTAATTTACTCGTGAACTATCGAGTTGTAAGTACGTTAGTGTTCTCAGTCCTCCCTAATAGCCCTTGAAATTATTCAACTAGTGTATGTTTATGGTTAGATTCAATAATCGTGAGATCCCATCAACTGGCATACTGTAATCATGTATTCCTCATATCTGATAATCGTTAAATCTGATGCTTCTGATTTAACGTCTTCCCAATATTTTCTGTCTATAGTTATCCCCTTAAATAATTGTCCTGTACTGAGACAAATCTCATTTTCTAACTAGTAGAGTACAGCAGCTCTAAGTTTTTCCCTGCTTTTCTTGTTTACAACGCAGCTATCGACCCTTATGTCGTTGATCTGATGTCCGGATTTGTGTCATTATTGTTGGTTTTTAATCCTCTTTAAATCGATAATTAGATTTTAAAGACTGATTCTATTTCAGGATTAACACCAACCTTTCTTTTTATGTCCACCCTTGGTATACATATGTATATTTGTGAATAGAACATAGAAATATGTTATGACTTTCATTACCTTTTCCTTAAACTAGCAATCGTAAATTAAATTTTAACCCGATCCAGCCACGACACGAAATCGTGGTCTTATGTTCAATTATTTCTGTTGAGTGTCCGTATTGTTTCTTTATTATTATTATTATTATTATTATTATTATTGTGCACAGGTTTTTGTGCTCATCTATGAATTTAATAAGTCGAAATGTCCATTGTGTGTTAGAGGATTCGAATTTATTTCCCAATTATTAGTTAGTTTACAATCACATTTGATATAAACGCGTCATTAAGAATAGGTATATCATTAAATAGATGGATGGGTGTTTATACGGCTAGTAAAATAAAAATACTTTACTACAAAGTTTCTATCAAAATTACTAATATTGTTGTTATAAAAACGGTTATGGCATTTTTAAGTACGCTCTGACTGTTGAATCGACCGAATGTCAGTAATTGGTTATATGATCTAACTGATTGTTAACGGCTCATAAGACTAAATTTATTTACATTAACTAACGATTTCCAAATGATCGACAGCCGAAATTACTGAACCATTTATTTTTGATTGTTCTGTTCTTGAGTTTAACTAAATGAGACAATTCTTCATGTACAAAATAATTATACTGAATAAACTTGCATACTATGTGACCAATCATTGTTGAAAAACATAGAACGGCTTTTGAAAATTTGATGAATTTCGGATAATGACCAGATTTTTGTATATTATCTTACGTTAAATATTTTAAATTAACCAGCTAGGATCTTTTTGATCCACTTTTCATGCTGTTCGGCAGTCATCAGTTATCTACAACCTTGAAGATACTTTTGCTTCTATTGAAATCGTCGCCTAAAATACCCTGCACTTCTGTGTCAGTTATTATTGATAAAAAAATTACAGGAGTTGTTTATTTGGTCATATTATGCTGATAAGTATATTTGTAAAGATGATTTGTTGATAGGTACTAACAAACCGAATTGGAAACTGAGTCAACCCATTGATGACATCAGATCACCCAAGGTTGAATAGTGTGTCCCAAGATCATACAATTTAGTACTAAGGCTGATGTCACCATATGACAAATCAACTCGTGATTTTGGATATTTTGTTAGTTTGAATTTATTTAAACCCTGTTATAATGCCGTTTCAATAAGATTAACTTTGTTTATCTTATCATAAATTTCTCTGCTGATTTTTCAAATGAAGCCTTCCAAACCATCTCTTCGTTGGACTGAATTCGTTTCACACTGGCCATTATGGGCAATTTACATTGCTCATTTCAGTATGAACTGGTCAAATTATATTGTAATGCTATGGTTACCGACCTACTTAGTCCGTTATTTGGGAGCTACTGAATATGCCATAATGCTAACAGCTATACCTTATATATGTAATTGTATTGGGAGTGTTAGTAAGTTTACATTTTTAACTAATATGTAGACTTTCTTAGTATCTATGACTTTTTTCGTCATACATGCTTGGACACTTCATAACGTGCGATTCAAGAGAGGTTGGGGATGAATTCCGTATTTCTAAATCACGTTAACATATTAGTAAACGTTTAGTGTGGAACTTCCTCATATACTCTCCTACTCGTTTTAAGAGTCAGAGGTCTGAAATTTACTCCTAAAGTACTACATATCTTCCTGTCTCATGGGTTTTAATTACTTGTCGGATTTTTTGAAATACGAAGTGAACTTTGAAATTCTATCTGCTATTGATATCAGATGACCATTAACTAATTGTTCACTCGTCTAGATATGCCCACCAAGTAGCTTTATTTGGTTTTATGTACATCAAAAACAAGTAAAGCGATTCAGATATTTCTCGTTACCCACTCTCGAGCAACAGAAGAGCTCCGTAAAAATCGATACGTTTTACGTTTTACCCTATTCTAATATCACTTACCTACCTAACCAACACGTTTTCGTTTCCACTAGTGATGCTGACGTTTAGGTTTTATAGAAAACATCCCTAGTCCCAATTAACTGGATATAATCGCATTTAATTTATGTACCTCGTGTTAAATCAGACAATAAACCTCGTTTACAGAAGTCACTGTTAAGTGCCACCAGTTTGTATTGTTTCCAGAACTTATTAAGATAATCGAAGTCTATTTCCTTGTTTTGCACAGTGAGTTGAGCTTCTACAATCATATCAAACAGTAATTCATCTGTATTAATAGTTAGAGGACAAAAAAAGGTTAAAACCAACTAAAAACCAAACCGTGAATAAATGTTTTTAAAATATTCTGAGAAAAAGAAAGAATTCAGAATGATTTCGAACTATGTTATCTCGGATTTTCACTCTCTGATTGTAGTGACTTTCATGATGTTTACGATTCTCCACACATTGTAGATCAGTGATTGATTGGTCGGATGCCTTCACGTATGAGAACTTCCTTACCCCTAAATGCCCTGGTACGACCGATGTTGGGGAGAGTCCACTCTCTCTCTCGAAATGCTGTCATATAGCCACGCGTACGACCACCGCTATGAAAGTCCTATCCACTGCCTCATCGCGGCGGAGGTTTTTACGAAATTGAGAGGACGAAAAGCGAATTTTTGGTGCTTTAACGGGGTTGATGGACACGGAGAATCCCTCTAGGGGAGTTGGGAAACCCTGATTCCAAACTAATAGTGAACATGGGTTCCAGTATCCTGAAGGAACAAATGGCGTATGAACCAATCGTTGGTCACCGGCTACCATGGGACTGCATCTCCTAACGTTGCTTCACTTCTTTGTGGGTCAGAAATTCAGGTCAAAGGCTCGGGATGTGGCCCCCTAAGAAAACCACCTGCTTCGGTTTGGGCACCCGCGCAGTATCACAGCCCTCGCACATATCAAATGAGATTTGTGTGGCGCATATGTATTTGGTGCCTTTTTGTACCAATATCTATGTGTTAAAATAAATAAATGAAACAGTTCTTCTACAGAAAGTGCGTTCGACAGATATTGTAGTACTAACCGGAGACTTGGTGAATGCCCAGGTCGGGCGTCCAGGCACAGAAAAGAGTCGTTTAGGTGACCGATGGGAACTTGTTAGTCGCAGGTCAGATAATGAAAACGGTCTACTGCAACTGTGCGCAGACCACAACCTATTTTTGACTAGCACTAACTTTCAGCACAGTCATCACCGATGTGCCACCTGGTGTCCTCCATCTGCATCTCAAGCCTGGACTCAGATTGACCACATCGCGATTAGCTACCGCTGGCGTGGTTGTGTACAAGACTGCCACTCCTTTTGCAGTACCTATCTGGACTCCGATCATGCACTTGTTTGCGCTAATGTTACCTTGCGTTTCAGTGGCCGACAAATTCATTGTCCTAAACGGATCGTTATCACTAAACTAGTTACAGCTTCTGCTGCAACTAAATATCAAACCAAACATGATTCAAGGCTAGGTATTAGCCCACTGAAAAGTATGGATAAGAAATGACCGCTCTGCATGACACTATGAAAATGGAGAGCAAAGTCACTTTTGGCTTCGTGAAGCGTCCTGCTCAGAAGCATTGAGTCTTTTACAGGCTCCTTACCTATCAGGACTCTGGTCATGCACTTGTTTGCGCTAATCTTATCTTACTTTTCAGTGGTCAACAAATTCATCGTCCTAAACGGATCGATGTCAGCAAATTGGTTGCAACTAAATGTCAAATCGAGCTACCTTCTAGGCTAGCTAGCAATCCACCAAAACGTATAGATGAACATTGGCTGCAATTGCATGACGCCATGAAAATGGCGAGTAAAGTCGCTTGCGGCTTCGCGCAACGTCCCGCTTGTAAGCACTGGGTTTCTCCTGGCTCCTTACAATTCACTGAAGCCCGTCGGTCTACTCTGGGTGACCGTGAGTTTGACTACAAACGACGACTGTTACGTAATGAAATTGGGAAAAGCTTGTGTCAGGACCGAGAAGTCTGGTGGTCGGAGCGTTCCAATGAGTTTGAAGCAACAGCTGCATCTGGTAACTGCCGGAAGCTCTTTCAACTCATCCAAGACACTGGCAGCAAGAAGTCTGGTGTGAGCGAAACAATTTATGAGGATGAAGGGATGTTAATCACTAACATCAAACGACGTCTTGTACGATGGGCAGAGTAGTTCCAGGAGCAATCGTAGTGTTTCTTGACATCAGGGCCGCCTCCGATTCGTTGGACGGGACTGTTCTCTTGGATTGTCTATTGAAAAAGAGTATGCCTGAGAAGTTTATTAACATCTTAAAAGCCCTATATCCAAACACCTCAGGTAGAGTGAGCGCATACAACCACCTTTCTCCATTGTTCCATCCAAGCAGTGGGGTTAGACAGGGTTGCCCAATCTCACCATTCCTCTACAAGTTTGCTATCGACGACGTTCTAGAAACAGCTCTGATGGATGTAAGTAATGGCGATGTGGATCTGTTCCCTGAAGAAAGAATTCTCGACCTTGAGTATGCGGATGATATTGTCTTACCGCACGATAATACCCAAGCCATACAATCCACACTTAAACAGTTAGCAATTAATGTCTGTAGGTATGGTATGTGCTTCTCACCTTCGAAGTGCAAAGTACTTTTACAAGACTGCCAGGACCCTGATTCTGCACTCACTCTGGGCAGTGAGCAGATAGAAGTAGTCGAGAAGTTCGTGTATCTGGGTAGCTGCATAAGTGCTGGTGGTGGCGTGAGTGATGAGATCAATGCACGTATGGTGAAAGCCAGAGAGGCTTATGCCAATTTTCACCGACTTCGGTGCCTTCGTGATGTCAGCCTGGCTGTAAACGGTCGGATCTACAACGCGTCGGTGAGAGCAGTTCTGCCCTATGCTTGTGAAACCTGGCCTCTCCGAGTTGAGGATGTTAGATGACTGTTTGTGTTTGATCATCGTTGTCTCCGAAAGATTTCTGACATCCAGTGGCAACACCATGTTAGTACTGCAGAGGTTCAGCATCGTGTGTTCGCGCACAGAGACGATAATTCAATTGGTGTCACTATCTTGAAACATCGACTTCGGTGGCTTGGACATGTTCTACGAATGTCGTCCCAGAGAATTCCACGTCGTGCATTATTTGCCGACGCTGAGACTGGTTGGGAAAAGCGGAGAGGTGGTCAATGTATGACATGGTGTCGCGGTATGAAAGCTGTACAGGACTGGTTTTGTCGGTCTTCCACAACTTCCTGGTTGTAGTCTTACAGATGGTGCCACACAGTGGCTAGAGACGTTTTCAGATATGGCTCAGAACAGAAGCCAGTGGTGATCCTGCTGCATGTTTATTTTACTTTATTCATAAGAAAATGGACGTAACGCAAAATTGTAAATTTCCTTAATAGAAATCTGAAGTGCGTCTACTTATTCAAATTCACCTGTCGTAAAAGATATTTTGTTTTTTACGCTAAACCGATTCTTTCCTTTCAGTCGCCGGACGGCTAGCGAATTACTTAACTAAACGGCAGTTCACTGTACTAACTGTTCGACGCTTAATGTCATCTATTGGTCTTCTTGGTCCAGGTGTGGTACTTTTTTTGTTTTCCCTATCAAGCAGTGTAACATCAGCTATTGTGTGAGTTTTTAGATTTTTATTTGTAATTTTCTCGTTATCTCTGGAATATTGAATTGGAATAGCGTTTTGCAACACTCCTTCAGGTAGGGAGTATCTAAATAAATCTGCTTGCTAATACCACAGTTAGTTTACTTAATGCTGTCAAGTTCCATCTTTTCCAGCATTATTATCAATGTGTCTTCTATGTATTTCTTTCCGGTATTAGATTAATCACGATCCTAATAACTTTACGAATATCCTTTTTGTATTTAATTAAAACATTTTAAAATAAGACATCTGTCTTCAAATTTCCCAACAGGCATGTAACGTACGTCCATAATTTTCTTTCGATTCCACCCAAAATTCCCTGCACTAGTTGCAACGAACTACCACATGATCTCGCTATTTTGGTTGTACTCTTCGGAAATGTTGTGCTTTCCCAAAGTTATTAAATTATTTTCGTTTGCACAGTCCATGTAATGCTGTTACTTAGTATCTGCTATCCATGTATCGTGCGCATCAGATATTATATATAATTTGGTACTGACAGTCATATCAATTTTGTCTATATATATTCAATGTAAAAGTTAAAAACATTAAGTTTTACTCATAGCATCACTTATGACTATTTCTTATACATTCTTAGTTTCCATTGAAATTTATGGCTACTTGTTACAGGTTCTGTTCTTCTCTGCTAAATATGCTCAAAAAGTATAGTTTTGTTTCAGGGAAACTTGGTTGGGGTCCGCGTGACTATCGTAACCAATAGTTGGAGACTGTTGGTGACATGGCTCAGAATCGATCACAATAGCGTCGGTGTATACACTCTCTGTCTTCCCTTAAACTAAGAGATTAAAGTCGCTTCATATCTTTCTTTCTACGAACTAATTCTTTCTTCCTGTACTATTTCTTTATTGCAATCTTTCTTTTATATATTGCCACCTCTGAATTAACTACTTTTATGAATCCGGTGTCCATCTTGTTGTGTAAATGAGGTATGGCAACTTGGACCGATGCATATATGTGCCTGGTCCTACGTTGTAGCTGACTGACTGACCTCTTATCAAAGTGTCAATGGAATTCATTTTCACTACGACACTCCAAACTACTTGTCCGAATAAGTCACTTTCAAAATCAATTCTTCACTTCATAATCCTTTATGGCTCCTTTATAGGTAGCCTGAATATTTTCTTAAGGTTGATGGCGATTATCCACTAATAGCTATAACATTGTTCTTTTTTGAAGGGGACGTTAACATTCATTTTCGAGTAGCACTTGGTGAAACTTAGCAATGATGTTATTTTCTGCAATTATCCAAGGGGAAATGCAAATTCTTCAAGTATGGCGTAACTTGTGTCCAAATGCATTATGGGAAATAAGCGAATTTTTGCAATGCGATACTCTGGACACCAGGTTTTTAATTGAGATTTAATCTATGTAAAAGCCAATGAAGTGTGTTTCATTCAAAAAGTGAAGATGACTAGTCAAATTCAAGCTGGGCGGAATGGGTTATTTGTATCTATAGGAAAATCGTCGTTCATGAGGTTGTAATGAAGCGTGATGACATTATAGTTAAAACATCTGATCCGAAAGACTCCATGATGGAGAAATTTTATTACAATTCTGACACTAACATGCAATCACATATGCGTAACCCTACAGTCATTTAGTTTTCATCGGAATATGTGAATTTGATACAACGATAAAAAAAATAAGGTAAATCTACAGTACTTCATGGGTATGCTTGTCTGTATATTCCTGTGTACAATATGTATCATTCATGTAAACAGAAATTAGTTTTTCCCTTTTGCCTTAAAAAAACGTAGCATGATACTGAGATTTTCTTCGATAAACATAAAATATTATCAGGTGTTGACTTTTTTACGGGACTGAATTGAATGAATATTCTCATATAGCGTTCCTATGAATTATTTTTGTGTTGTCAGTTGGTATTCCCTATCATTTATGAGTAATTACTTCTAGATTTTGATTATTATTTCACTGAGTGTAAACTGCAAAATGTTGGTACAGAAGTCTTTTAAATCCGTCTGTAGCCTTATGATTTGTACAACATTCTTTTGCTATATTTTCCAATTGTTCAAATTTTTACATATCATGAAAAATTGTTTTGTTTTTCTTTAGTCAGTATTGTTCGTCAATGTTAAATATTTAGAAATTGATACTGTTAATAAGCTCGAACATAAATGTAGATTTTAAAAAAACACTTAGAGGCCTTCCTGTAAAGAAATTTCAGTTTTTGCGAGTTCATGCTAAAATGACTTATCTTTTATTCAGTCCTTAACGTAAATAAAAATTAGCTCAGTAAATTAGATCCAAATGTGTGTAATAACTGTGAATCCCACTTAGTATGCTTGCTGTAAACCATCACTGAATTATGTATTCCTAAGTGAGGTAAGTTTCATTATCACATCTTATAAAAATGCATATTATTATAAGATGATTTGATTACTTGTCATGAAATAGTGTTTTCTTGTTGACTTTCCAACAGAACTCATCTAATAGAATTTATTTTCTGTAGTTTTACCACTAGCATCAGCTGTAAATATACCTGAAAAGTTTATCATATGGCATTCACGATATTGCTGTCAGTATCAAAATATTATGAGTGTATTATATTCTTTTTTCGATCTTTTACTTTGATTCAATTCATCTGATTTAGCCTGATTTCTGTGTCTATGACATTTTCCGCCTTCAATTCTGCTGGACATTTATGTAATCATGTAGAGGTTGCACCTAATCATGCAGGCACCACATTTATCATAAGCAATATTTTGGTGAGTATCATTAGCTTTTATTTTGTTTTATTGGAAACTGATTCAGATTTATCTATTTAATACTGGTGTATGTTTTTGGTATCTCCTATGTTGGCCATCAAAGTTTATCGTTAATTGCAGTGACATTTAGCCTATCAACATGAAAAATCAGTACTACGGTTTAAAATAATCGAAAAAGCACAAGAAATTTAAACTATAAATATCGGGCTAGTGAAGCTTGAGTAAAAATGGTGATTGGTTTTTTACTGCTGTCTGTATTGATTATCAACATTCTCACTCATTATTAAATAAACAGAGATCAGTTCATTCCGTTCCTCTTAAATGTTAACGTAATGGTGCTTCATAATTGAGGGATATTTTATTACGCTTATTGGATCGTTGACTCTTTCATCAATAACTAATACTGTTACATTCGTGTGTAATGTATCGATTAAACGTTTCTCTGTTAATTTGTTCAGGCATATTAATCTCATACTATCTTAGCAAAAGATGTGCTTAAAAATTTCAAGGTTAGTGGGTTGTATTTTATGTAAATGCTTTTAGAAAAGATATAAAGCCCACCTACGTGCTTTGGTAATAGAGTCTCAAAGTTATTTTTTTTAGAAGCTGTGAAATTGAAAGCTGTTGTTTCTTGCATATTTAGTTTATAATTAGTTAGTGTTCATACTCAAGTAGAAATAGATCGACAGAAGTATTGTATCCTGAGCACCTGTTGACTTCATATTATGCAAATTTGATTAGTTTTGGGTTATAAATAATTCTCATGTAGTCGGTTTCTAAGAAGTAACGTAAACAGTTTTCTACATGCTTTGGTGTAACTCCCGCTACAATGGATCGTGAGAATAGAATGTTTAAATTCGATTAAATCATATATTCGTGTCGTCCTCCTGAAAATCAATGCTATTAGTAAAGTTGTAGTTGTTGTGTGATCATCCTCCAATGAATTTTTCTTTCTATCATTCTCAGAGAGATCATTATTCACCCTCAGTAAAAATTCCTCTACGGTCTTGAAATAAACTTATACCGTTTTACGAAATGAAGTTAAATAAAACATCCACCTTTCATTTTTTGTGAAAATTGATACCACTAAACCGATTAAAAATAAAAAATAAAGAGGATAGAATGGGTGAACGAATATCCCAAGGATTTAATATTTTGTACACTTAAATCATGAAATGACATACAGGAAGTCATTGAGTCTAATGGTCGGAACTGGTGGTCAAAAGTACTCAGTGCCACATATGACTGTTTTGTGAAGAAAGGTGAGATGAGGTTTTGGTTTATTATTTAATATTTCTCTGCCACTGCAATTAGTAATAGCGTAAGTAAATACAGTTTCACGATTGAAACTTTGTGAGTATTCGAAGTAGATGGGAAGGATTAATTCTATTGATTGTCGTTAAATCACAGTATCTGACTACAACTCAGGTTTTCTTTCCACAGTAATTTTTGCGTTAATATGCGAATCTGTTTAGTTGTTCTGTTTACTCACATTCTTATTGTGTAAATTCCGGGCTGAATTTGTCCATGTGATAATTAGTGCACACTTAGGCATCAACGTGAAGACGTAGATGCGTAGCCAACTCATGTTTCAGACATAATTTCAATAAACTATTATTTTTTTGATTTTGTGAATTTTGAAGAATGTTATCACAGTTAATCTGTGATTAAAGTTTTTCAGTGAAGTGATTCCCTACCGCTGTTTCGGCGTTAACCCATTCACTTCTACTTGTTAATTATTTCCTCTGTTGCATTTCCAACTACACTTTCCTATGTTACTTCTAGTGACCACTTGTAGCGTGCTTTTTACTATCTGAGCTGTATATTATCTCGAAACACTGGTCTAAATTCTAGATAAGGTGATTCTAATTTAAATGTAGTAGCAAATAAGGCTTGGAAATAGTATTTAATATAGCTAGTTTTTATATTGCCTTATCGTTCATTGCATTTTCTACTATATATAGGCTACTATACCTGGAATAGTATGTGGTCCACTGACTGCCGAATTAGTTATCACATCTGGTGGAAGGTGGTTTCCTGTATTCATACTAGCTGGTTTTATAAATGTAGTTGGTGCTGTTGTGTACATTAGCCAGAGTTCTACAACGCAAGTATTGTAATCATGCGAATAACGTGTACAGATGTCCATGTACATTCACTTTTTTTATTCTTCTAGCTTTGTATCTGACTAGTTTCCTACCCAAGTCTATAATTTCTCTCCTTACTTAATTAATTTATCATGAACTGTGCCTTCAACTTTCTGTTTGACGAAATTCGTTGTCAAATTTACGTATCAACCATCCATGGTATCTTCGCAAAGATATAGCCAAGATTTATCTATTGAATTTATTCGGTTAAAATTATTCACCCTTTACTATAATGAAATCACAATGTTTCGTTATAAATTAGTGAATCGATAAATCATTGTTACTTATCCCTTGCTTTTAACAAATAATACTGAGTGTTAAAAATGACTTAATACAGTCAGTCAGTAACAACGTAGAACTTCGTACGTACGTACATCAGTTCGAGTTGCCACACCACATTAGCACAGAGATGCAGTTGTCGATTCAAATCCCGTAGTGGTAGAGGTAATAAGAGTATAAGCAGTAATCGGGAAGATTAGGGTTTGGAGATGTTATTTAAAGAGTATAATCCAGTGAAATAAATTTGGAAAGAGGAAAAAAGGGACATGAAGAATTCAGAAGATTAGAATTTGGGAGAACACAGAGTGGATGCACCTGCGCCATTGCAAACGATTTTGAACCATGTCATTCAGGGTCTCTAACCATCGGTTGCTATCATCTCGCGGTCCCCAACCAGGTAGTCTACACCTACCAACATGACTCAGTTCACTTGTCAGTGACTTCATGGACTTGTGCCATGTTTTGGTTTGGCCGCCCCTAGCTTTCTTCCAACCTACTCCTATACCACTGAACATAGCACGTCGAGGCAGTCGGTCGTTGGGCATACGTAACACGTGTCCCAGCCATCTCAACTGATGAAGTTTCACTACTTCATCAATGGATTTGCCATCCTTACCTAGTACCCGTTTCCTAACAACTGTGTTACTTACTCGATGGTCCCATGATATACGAGCAATGTTTCGAAGACACCTATGATCAAATACTAGTAGCCTACGGATATCCTCTACTCTTACCGGCCATGTTTCACTGCCATAAAGTAGGACGGAACGAACTGCTGCACAGTAAACACGTCCTTTGGTTGATAGACGGATATCTCGCCTACGCCATAAATGACGCAAGTTGGCAAAAGCTAGTCGAGCTTTCTGTATCCGTGCTGAGATTTCGTCACACACCAGACCACAAGGGCTGATGAGACTTCCAAGATAAGTGAAGCGGTCGACTTACTCAACTACTTCACTCCCTATCACTAGTTCGTGTGTCGATGTAACCCAATCCTGAAGCAACATTTTGCAGTTCGAGGTAGAGAATCGCATCCCGAACATGCTTGCATTGTTGCTTAGAGTGGTCAGAAGACTCTGCATTTTGTCAGCGTCTTCACCAAATAAAACTGTCATCTGCATATTCTAAGTCAACAAGTGAACCTCCCGGTAGAAGTTCAACCCCTGGAAATTTGGATGAGGAGAGTGTTATCTCTAAAAGTACGTCGACCACAAAGTTGAACAAGAATGGAGAGAGTGGACAGCCCTGACGAACACCACTTGAGGTAATTAATTCTGTTCGCCATAAGCTCTCACTCTACCAGTTGTGTTCGAGTAGAGAGCCTTTATAAGGTTAATGTACTTCTTTGGTACTCCTTTCAGTGACAAACACTGCCATAGAACCTCACGATCAACAGAGTCGAATGCCGCCTTAAGGTCGAGAAATACTACGATTGTTGGGCGTCTGAATGTGTGTCTGTGTTCTAGAACCTGACGTAGTGTGAATATATGATCTATACAACCACGTCCAGGTCGAAAACCGGCCTGGTTTTCTCTAATCTGCTCTTCACGAGCTTTGATTAGGCGTCGAAGTATTATTGAGGCTAATATTTTAGACACTATATTAGTCAAACTGATTCCTCTGTGATTGTCACAAGACGACTTTTGTCCTTTCTTAAAAACTGGCACAATCAGTGATTGAGACCAGTCAGATGGGATTACGTCCAGTTCCCAAATTCTACCTAAGACCTCGGTTAAGCTCATTGCTAATACTGGACCACCATCCTTAAAAATCTCAGGAGTAAACCTGTCAGGGCCTGCTGCTCTCCCTCGTTTCAGATTTCCTATGGCTTTTTCAACTTCGTAAAGGGACGGAGGGCCTACATTATCTTGCCATTCAGGTTGACTAGAGATCGTGGGAAACCGAAGTGTGGCTGAAGGCCAGTTGAACTGATCCCTAAAGTGTTCTGCCCATCGATCCAATCTCCTGGATTGAGAATGAATAATATATCCATCTTTCTCTGAGATTGTTTCGCTAACGGTCGGGTTCCTAATTCCGGTTTCCTTAACGAGTCTGAACAATTGTCTGCTATTACCTATTGCAGCTGCCTTTTCCATCTCTCTTGCTTTCGCCACCCACCACTGTTCGCGATCATTGCGTAGACTTCTTGTCAGCTTGCGCTTAAACTGACTCCGCTTTTCATTATGTTCAGAGCCAGGTGGAATGAGTTTCCGAGCATCTAGCAGTGCAATAGATGCTGCTGAGATCCAGTGTTGCTGCCTAACCTTCTGGTTTACCTTACTAGCAGATATCACTTATGTTTCCACAGCTTTTCGGATATCATTCAATGCTGCCTCGGGGTGGGCATCACATACATGGATGCCCAACTGTTTTCCTAGTTGTTCCTGAAATATACTCTTAGCTTGACTATCATTAAGTAGGCCCCTAAGAGGTTTCCTTGCAGCGTCTTTCCTACGTCCAGTAAGACGCAAGCAAATACGCGCTCGTACTAGAGCATGATCTGAATCTAAGCATGTGCTCCAGAACGAGCGACAGTCTTCTATCGAGCCCCTCCAGCGGTGGCTGATAGCGATGTGATCTATTTGGGTCCAACGTTGGGACGAATTAGGGGGTCTCCATGTTAAAAGATGTTTTTCCTTATGTTTAAAGTTAGTATTTGCAAGGAACAGGCGGTTATCTGAGCATAGCTGCAACAGACGGTCGCCATTATCTGTTCTTTGAGCCACGACACCATAAGATCCACCTAGGTGTCTTTCCCTATCGCTTAGTTTACCTACTTGAGCATTAAAGTCATCGGCCACTATTACTACATCCGAGCGCTTAGCTTTTCGGAGAAGGTCCGAAAGCTTTCTGTAGAACTCATCTTTTACATCATCTGAGCTGCAGTCAGTGGGAGAATAGGCAGAGACGACGAAGAGGCAACGACGAGTGTCCCTATCTTTCCGGATTCTTACTGTTCCGTTCAGTCGGACAGCGCACAAACGACTGTCTACTGGGATCCACTCTAAGAGAGCTAGTTCTGCCCTAGGACTCAATGCTATACCTACGCCGGCGAGGCCACGGGAAGCAGAATAAGGGCTTCCAGATACACGAAGCGTAAATCGAGTCGGTTCTTTATTTTGGTTTTTGATTGAGATCTTGAACCAATTGATGTTAGACCATCACAATTGAAAACCTGGAAGCACTGGACGGCCGTTTCGTCCTACTTTGGGACTCCTCAGCAGTGCGCATCCACGATCCCGCGAGCGGGATTCGAACCCAGGGCCTTCGGTCTCACGCGCGAACGCTTAACCAACTGGACAACTGAGCCGGCATCCAATGGTGATAGTTTCTAACATCAACCAATCCACGAAATTGCGCGACCAACTTCCATTGTACTTAAGTAGATAACTGTCTCTACCCGACAAGGATTAGCTCCACTGGTCACGGCTTCTCACTAGAACTCCGAGAATTCCCTCACGAAGCTAGTCACTAGTGAGCACATGTTGATTACTAGTATAGGGGTTGTGGAGATTATTAAGTTTTTGATTGAGATCTTGAACCAATTTATGTTAGACCATCACAATTGCCATGTGCTCTGTGACTAGTAACTTTAGGTCCACCCAGTGAAGCAGAGGTCTGTCCAGAGCTACGGATCCCGGAAAGTCATCAGGCCTAGGAGATCTATAACGAACACCACAAATCCTCAAAAGCATCAAAATCTGAATGTATGTTCAACCATTCCATCGCGACGCCAATGAGTGTTTGAATTATGGTACGAACTAGGAATCCCAGGAATAACTCCATCTAATCAAGAAGTATTAGATGAGCACGAATAAACATATTTTGTTTGGGATTCTAAATCAAGCAGTGAACAAGTACAAAGGAATCTTTAGTTTATAAAAACACCATACGAGGCCATGTTTGTAACTGTAACGTTTTCGTTCATTTATTTGTTCATAATACTACCTTGTCCACCATATCATCACTATGTTTCCACTCTACTTAATTGACACTATTTTTGGTTTCCTAATATACCGGGGTTTATATTCATTCAATAAGATAACTAAAAATGTGTAAATTCCGGTAAGATATATTGAATTGTACCTTATGAATATGCTTACTTGTAGTTACATTATAATTACCCTATATTGTTGTTGTGTCTTGTTATTGGGGTTCAGTTCGGCCCATGATGTTACGGATCTAAAAACGGAAACGATTGAGCCTTTCTAATACGATCCACTCTCTTTGGAACTGACAACAGTAAATTATACTCAATACATTAAACATCGATGGCCAAGAAAAGAATAAGACGGAATCGCAGATAACTTGATATTTGTGGTAGAACAAAAGTTGTCTCTATGTTAGCGGAATATGATATTTGAGCGTGGATCAATTTAGCGATCTAGGAAACATAACAATCAGTCAGAGGGCAAAGGTCATGCGGAAAGTCGAACTATTTCAGTTTCAATTCGGAAAGGACAGGACGCTAGGTGGTCTGTGTTAGTCCTGGCAATGATGGTCTCAGTCGACTCAACATTTTTTGAAAGCGTCGATAGATGGAGATAATGAGTTACATTCGTTGATGATTCGACCGAGTTTGTTCTGGACTTGTAAACTTTTTTGGAGTGCTATTATAAACTCTTTTTTGAAAACAATATGTATTTCTGCCACGGCAGCTACACGCCATTTTCACAGGCATGATCTACATATTA